ACCACTGCACTCGAGACTGGGTGACAGTGTGAGACCTTGTCTCTGTGAAAATGAAAACAAAAAATCAAAACTACAATGACAAGGACAGTCCCCCCCACTGCCACCACGACACAGACTTATCTGGCCCCAAATGCCAATAGTGTTAAGGTTGAGAAAGCCTGCCCTAGGGTCAGCCTGCCTGGGGTTCAAATCACTTATAATCTGTGTAGCCATTGGTAAATTATTTTACAAGTTTGTGTTTACTGAGTGTCTTCAACAATAAAATTAGAATAAATAATAACAATACTCACTTTATTGATTTTTTAATGATAATTACACAAAAAAGGAGCTAAGGAGGAAGGCTGGAACAAAGCAAGTGCTCAACAAACATCTGCTTTTGCTGTCATTATTACATGCACTGAAAACCACTGAGAAGGAGTACACCAAAATTTTAACAGTGATTGTTTCCAGGTGGCAAGATCACACTGGTTTTTATTTCATTATCCTTTCATACCACTTTATAATTTCCAAATTTTCTAGAATGATGTTTGTATTCATCTGATATCCAAAATGTTTTAAAAGAAAGCAGAGAAAAGAAATTTACCTGTGATATAGTAAAAAGAGCAGAGAACGAAAGGACCTAGATTCAGATCCTGACTCTACTTGCTGTCTGTGGACACTGAGCAGGGAAGTTAACCTCTTTCAGCTTCATTTTCCTCAGTCAAAACTGGGGCTAATGCTGCATATCATAGAGAATTGCTTTGAGATTAAACATGCCAGACTTGCAGCATCTGGGAGAGTATACTGAATGAAAGGCTCCAGGAGATAACTGTTTTAAAGGTTTGGCCAAAGGAAAATGACTCTACAAACAGGGAAATATATTCATGATGGTAACTCCCCTTTTGCCTTTTATTTTTTGTTTTTTGAGATCCGATCTCACTTTGTCACCCAGGCTGGAGGGCAGTGGAGTGATCACAGCTCACTACACCCTAAACTTCCCAGGCCCATGCAATCTTCCCGCCTCTGCCTCCTGAGTAGCTGGGACCACAGACGTGTGCCACCATACCCAGCTATTTTTGTAGATCTCCCTATTTTTTTTTTTTTTTTTGAGACGGAGTTTTGCTCTGTTGTCCAGGCTGGAGTGCAGTGGCGCAATCTCAGCTCACTGCAACCTCTGCCTCCCAGGTTCAAGTGATTCTCTTGCCTCAGCCTCCTGAGTAGCTGATATTATAGGCACCTGCCACCATGCCTGACTAGTTTTTGTATTTTTAGTAGAGATGGGGTTTCACCATTTTGGCCAGGCTGGCCTAGAACTCCTGACCTCAAGTTATCCGCCCACCTCGGCCTCTCAAAGTGCTGGGACTACAGGCATGAGGCACCGTGCCTGGCCTAAGGTCTCCCTATGTTTAGGCTGGTCTCAAACTCCTAGGCTCAAGCAATCCTCCGGCCTTAGTCTCCTAAAGTGCTGGGATTACAGGCGTGAGTCATGGCACTCAGCCTCCCTTTTTTCTTTTTAAACCATCCTCTTAGAGAGCACAACACCCATGTCATCCCATTTTTTACCTTGACTGATAGAGAAGAAACTGCATCCACACTTAGGTCCTTCTCTCTCTTCTCTCCTCTCCCTACATACACTCTAGGAAGGGATTTGATCATCCCCCTGGCAGGCCCTGACTCATTTGGCAGGGTTTACTTGCAGGCAAGCCGTTTTTTCTGAAAGGCAGGACCTAGGTACCACTTTTTCATATTCTTCACCCTAGCTCATTCTCCCTCTTCTTATTTCTGCTCTCACCCATCACCTCTAGGTTGAAATCATACTTGGCAAGGCCTCTCCGTAAGGGGAAGCCTCTCCACTTTCTCTCCCTCTGTTCTATCCTCCCATGTCACTGGTTGAGTAGGTTGCCCCCTTTTAGATTGCAGAGGGCTGTGTAGGAAGCCCAGCTAGGCGTCCAGATCCACGGCTCATGTGTGTGCTAGCCCTGCCTATCTGAGAAGCCCTGCGTGTGTGGGGGGCATGGAGCACTTGCCAGCTGGTTAGTGCTTCCATCACGGCTGTTGTTTCTTTTGTGCAGCTCGCTCAGCAGGTAATGCTTGAGGTGAGCAGCATATGCTCACCTCAAGAATTCAAGGACTTGCACTTTATCCACAACCCCTTCATGATTTAATTAGATGGAAAAATCATAGGTTATGTTTGTGTATATGATCAGGAGTGTGACTATTTTAAGCCTCACTGTCTTGAGAACTTGAATTTAAATCCTGACCAAGCTTTCAAAATGCCCCAGGACAAGCCTCTTCATTCGGTCCTAACTGCCATGGTTTGGGAAAGGCAGTCTGACCCTAACCCACACTGACACTCAAGATCCCAGAGTTCCCTGGGAAAGAGTCCTGCAGTCCCGTGAGCTTTCTATACAGAGTTCTAAGGACCGGAAGCCAGACTGAATCAGGAGAGAATTGCCTGAGGCAGGAGTTGACTTCTCAAGACATTCACTCTCAAACCAAGTTGAACTGTTTCAACACTGGGAGATGGGACCATGGGAAACATCAGAGGAAAGTAAGACTGTTGGGGGCGCTTCCATCTAGATATGAATACAAATATCAGAAGAACTCCACTCCAAATGTTAATAAAAATGTCAGGGGGATTGATGATCTCTAGGAAATAATTTATGTGCACTTTTTTTTTTTGAGACGGAGTTTCGCTCTACCCAGGCTGGAGTGCAATGGAGCGATCTCGGCTCACCGCGACCTCCGCCTCCTGGGTTCAGGTAACTCTCCTGCCTCAGCCTCCTGAGTAGCTGGGATTACAGGCACGCGCCACCATGCCCACCTAATTGTTGGTATTTTTAGTAGAGACAGGGTTGACCAGGATGGTCTCGATCTCTTGACCTTGTGATCCACCCGCCTCGGCCTCCCAAAGTGCTGGGATTACCGGCGTGAGCTATGTGTACTTTCTAAACTCTAATTTGCTACTGTTCCAGGGCCAGCCTAACTATATAAACTTAGGCATAATTTCGACTGTTGCCGAATTCTTACTACACATGTGTCTCCTGTCATCCCTAAAACACACACAAAATAAAACAGGCATGGACTCCCCAATTAGCACCAGCAGAACACAGTCATTGTTCTGACTCTTCCCAGTCTCCATTCACCATATATTGAGAGCTCGACCATAAACAAGGCCTGGTGATGAGGGCTAGAAATCCAAAGAGGAAAGGATACTGTCCTTCAAGAAGCTCACTTCCTGTGACTATATAGCATAAAAGTGTTACTTGTCCCAGGGAAATGTAGATGTCAGCAGGGATCAAAGGCTTAAGCTTAAAGACTGAAGTTAAATATGGTAGGGGACACAATTACTTTTTAAAGTACTGTGCAATAAAACCCTGAAGGGAACTAGTAACTTCTCTCAGTTTTTCCATAGCTTATAGGAGTCAGATCAGTCATCTTTTATTATCATAGACCAGAAGGAAATCTACACGGATCAAAAAAAGGAAATCTTTGTATCTCAGAAATTTCTAGCAGTTAAAGTTATTAGCAAAGCTCCTCTTTTATCCTTAAAAACCTAAAATAATTTGCAAAAGAAATCTGTTCCCTTATTTTAAGGTATGATAAGATCATTTTAAAAGAATAAATCCAATCAGTTTGATGTTATAGTTTATATACATAATTTTACAAGTTTTTAATCTATTTATTTTATTTTGAGAACTCGGTAGGTGCTTTTAAAGACAATATGCTTAGGCTGGTCTTACTAGGTTCTGAGGATGGAAGAGTGTTTCTAGGTTTGATTTTTAAAACCCATGATATAATTCTAGATTTCTTTTTTCTTTAGACATCGGTTGGTCACCATAGTAACATAGTGTTTTACTACAGAGATCTATACAGCACAAGAGAAATAGAACAGCAATTACTTACTAAGTTACTTGGGGGTACAGAATGTGACTATAGGGATAATTTAAGATTAAATATAGATTTCTCTGCGGATCTCTTTTAGCAAAGCAAGCCAATTCAATCTTCTAGTAGCATCAGCTGAACAAAAATTTGAAGCGAAACTTACACTGACATCATTTGAAATAATATGAGCAGGCAAGCAGCATAGCTCAGTGGTTAAGAGCATGGGCTTTGGGGTCAAGCTTCATAGGTCCAAGTTCTCCTTCTACTATTTGCTAGCTGTGTGACCTTTGGAAAGTTCCCTAACTTCTCTGTGCCTCTGTTTCTTCATCTTTAAAATGTGGGTAATAAACTATTCCTCAAAGTGTTGTTATAAGGATTCAATGACTGTTTGTGCTTAGAACAGTGCCTTGCACATAGCAAGAACTTTCTAAGTATCTGTAAAATAAATACAAAATAAAATTTAAATTTCCTAGCTCCTCTCTTTGTTCTGGAAATAGTCAAAGACATGAAAATTTGAGTTCATGGCCGATGATTTTAGCCCGTAACTTTGGTAGATTCCTTTGAGAACTTCCCCAGGGCCTTGTTGCTAGCAATTCTACAAGATGTGAAATTCTGTGGCAGTCTACTGTCCTAAATCAGAGCTGGGAACAATCACGAGACTTCTGGTACCAGGAACATCAGAAGGAAGAGGATCGCACAGCACAAAGGAACAGCACACCTGCCCACTTCGGCTCCCAAAGCCACTGCCAATAACCTCTAGGAACATGGGCATAGAATAAGCAGCTGAAAAGGGATGAAACAGGCTTTTATTGCAGTGATGATGAAACCTGGTTGGTTTCAGTAATATTTTTCCCCTCTTTCCAGGATTCAAGAGGGAAAAATCCTTTTCATCAATGCTTTGTTTCATTAATTATCACTATACACAATTTCCATCTAATTTTTCAACAGGCACATATTCTGATGAATTATCATTTACAGAACTCCCTAGGCATCTTTTCTGGACTGGAAACAAATCTAAAGCCTCTAACCAGCATCTAAGGCAGGACAAAAATCTCCAAATTGCCTGGAAAAAAAGAAGGTATTACGTCCTCTGAGCCAAATTTCAGTCGCAGTACCAAGGGATCCCTATCACATACCTTCATCCGGACTTGATTTCAGAGACGTTCTCCTTAGATCTTCTTGGTCAGGAATAGCCCTTGCATAGGAGTTTGGAGAATGCCATAAACCACCAGGAAAGCCTGGAAACACATTCATTTCTGTCCTCTGCCTTCCCCTTGGCTCACAGCCTGCTTCCTGTTAGGGAGACAAGATGACGCTGTGCAGGGTAGACTGTTAAACCATCTTCCCGCCCCCAGCCCCACTCTCTTGATGCCCCTCCCTTCTCCTTTCTAAGGCGCTGGAATGTGTCACATGGGAAATGGATCATGTGGCTGAAGGAGAGAATGTAGCCATCTTCTCTCTCCCTTCCCCCACTTTTCCTTTCGGGAGCAAAGCAGCAGAAATCTCTGCCCTGATTGGCTCCGGCCAAAAATCTCCATATGAAAAGGGGAAGATTCAATCACCCAAACCCCCTGCCTTCTCTACTTTCTCTTTTTTCCATCTGAAGATTTTATCTTGAGCATTCAGAGTTGCTCCGTATGGGAGATAAACGATGCTTTCCCCTCAAGCCCTCTCTTTCTTTCAGTCAGTACCCTGACCTGGCAAGGTGTTCCTTAACCTTCCTCTGGATTCCCCTTAGCACACATCTGGGACAATGGAGTGTTCAGCACCACGGACAGCATTACAACCCCTTCAGTGCTTGTTAAAGCCATTGTCTAACTCACTCTCAAGTAAACACAAATATTTTAAAAAATTTCCCTGAGGTCCTGTGCCTAAATATAAACCACACCATATGTTTAGGGCTCTGACTTCCCCTACTATCAGTTTACTGTTACTTTATAAACTCAAAGATAATTTGTATATTTTCTTAAACCCAAAACACCATCTCATACCTACCTCCCTGTCCCCATCCCATCACACGTCCTCACCCATTAAATATGATCTATGCATTTTTTGTGCCGGGGAAGGGAGATTTCTATAATATAGTTTACAGTATGCCCAAATATCTATGCTTATGGGAAAAACCACAGAAACACATAGGAATTATTGGATGTACAAATATAGATGTCATTAGCCTCATCCCTAGGCCTCAGGCAGGAATGAAGTGGAGAGGGAGGGAGGGAGCCTGGTTGGAGCTATTTTGTGCAGGGTCTATCCTGCTTTGCTGACGTCCTGGTTGCCATGGTGCTAGGTAACTGCTGAAGAGGATAATTTCTTTTAAAACCGGTCACCATGGGACCCTGCTGACTAAAGAAAGGCAGAGGGAAAAGGACTGAATTGCTGAGGAGGGATTTCAGCTAGTATTCTCAGAGCCAAATTAGATCGTTGTTGATCCTAAATCTTGAAAGGATTCTAGGAATTAGTATGGACACTGCAGTAGTTACTCTCTCCATCCTCCTCTGCTTTTTTTCCTTAAAAATCTAGGTAGGGGGCCAGGTACGGTGGCTCATGCCTGTAATCCCAGCACTTTGGGAGGCCGGGGTGGGTAGATCACAAGGTCAGGAGTTCAATACCAGCCTGGCCAAGATGGTGAAACCCCATCTCTACTAAAAATACAAAATTAGCTGGGCATAATCCTGAGTGCCTATAATCCCAGCTACTAGGGAGGCTGAGGCAGAGAACTGCTTGAACCTAGGAGGTGGAGGTTGCAGTGAGCTGAGATCGCACCACTGCACTCCACCCTGGGCAACAGAGTGAGACTCTATCTCAAAAAAAAAATAATAATAAAATAAAAAATCTAGTTAGGGGCCAGGCACATTGGCTCACACCTGTAATCCCAGCACTTTGGGAGGTTGAAGCAGGTGGATCATAAGGTTAGGAGTTCAAGACCAGCCTGGCCAACATGGTGGAACCCCGTCTCTACTAAAAATACAAAAATTAGCTGGGGATGGTGACGCACACCTGTAATCCCAGCTACTCAGGAGGCTGAGGCAGGAGAATTGCTTGAACCTGGGAGGCGGAGTTTGCAGTGAGCTGAGACCATGTCATTACACTTCAGTCTGGTGACAGAGTAAGACTCTGTCTCAGAAAAAAAAAAAAAAAAATCTAGTTAGGTGCAACTGAATGAAAATTCCAGCCTCATAGAATGACCATAAAGTGCCATCACAGGATGGTGGAAAGAACTCAAGAAATCTGTTTCTCCTCAGTTTAGAAGATCTGACTTTTGGGAAGCCATTAGCTAAGTCCTAACAGCCTTAATTGGGAGATACTTTAGCATCACACCTGATTGTTGATACAAGGAACAATGTGAGGATTCTTTATAATACTATGGGAGAAAAGACAAATTTTTTTTAATGTGAGTTGCGAAATTATTTTAAATAAATATACATTTTATTAATGCTTGGGTAACATTTGGATTACTCCAAGTCAGAAATATAAACTGACTATACATTTATCTTATAACACTGGCCTATAACTAGTTGTTTCTAACTCAGAATCCTAACCAGGCAATTCAGAATACTTATTATTTTGAAGAAGAATGCTGACTCACACGTGTAGAAATGAAAACTTTGCAAGGAAAGAGGCGGCACAGGGAAGCTGGAGCATAACTTCAAGAAACAGAAGGTCCTTCCTGGATCAATATCCTCATCGTATTTTCTACTTTTATTTTAGAAGGAGTGAGGTTAATTCTAGTTTTCTATGTCAGACTCAGAGAAATTCAACTGTTATTTTAACGCTTGACATTTTAAGAAATTTCATTTATCAAGAAAGTTAGATAAGTGTTTGAAGAAATTCTTTGAGTCAGCAGGCTGGCGACTTGGATGCCATCTCCTCTCTTAGTCAAGAATAAATATGACGACAATAAGAACAACCAATATTTAACATGTGCCCAGATATTTATATATGTTATATCATTTAATTCTATCAACCCAACGAGATGAATATTATTGCTGGCATTTCTATTTCACAGATGAAGCAATGGAGGCTTGGGGAGGATAAGTCATGTGCCCAAAGCTGCATGGTGTGGGAGCTAGGATTTGGAACCACTGACTCAGCCTCCCGAGCAGGCATAGTGTACTATGCTATTCTGCATAATGAATAATGGATTAGACTAAAATAACTGGGCGATTCAATGTGTTGTGACTTGCTACTATGGCTCCTTGACATGAGAAATCACAAAGATTGCTTTCAATTATTTGAAACCAAAAAAATGACCAAAGCATTTATTCCTTCCAGATGACTACATGTATATATTATGGCATAATGATATTTAAAAATCATTTTATAAGGAATCATAACCCAAAATTTTATTAAGGATGGTCATAAAACATGTTACATATTACACTAATTCTGCTTAAAATATATTGTACTTATAATCACCGAACTTACTCCTGACATTGGAAGAAGATAAAGAAACAGTTGTCTTCCATCCAAATGCACAAAATTCCACGATGCTTGTGTAACTGAGGTAATATGTTGAACATGAGTAATGTGATCTTTTTCTCATCTGCCTGGGAAGTCCATTTGCCCTGGAGATAGGGTTTTGGCACTGTTTAGATGTTACAAAAGGAATGGAAAAAAAGAAATTAGTATTTGGCCTCTGAAATTCAAAATAGGAACAAGACAATCAGCTTGAAATCCAGGCTATTGTTTTGAAAGCCAGTCTCTAAATTCCTTTAGCTCTGCTCTTAGCTTGTCATCAACCAAACCTGGAAGACTTTGCTCAGTTTTCTGTCCTGTAGAGCTCTGGCTTCAGGCAAAAACTTTCCAGAGGGTCCCAAAGCATGCAGAGTTTTATGGGAACTAATTTCCAGATCCTCAACTTCTGCAAGTATGCATTTAAAACTGCTTTTCTGAGAACTAGTGCAGTCAAGATGTCATGCTGGGTCTTGGTTTCCACCTAGCTTTTCTTTCATCTTACCATAGACTGCTGACCCTCTTTTCCACCCTTACCTCAAATCCTGCATTGCCTGAATTTAAAAACTGCCTGGGGACCAAACATAGAAATAACTGAAAATACTGAGGATAGTATTGAGAAAGTGAATAGCTCCAATACTTGGGTAACAAATCCTTCTGAAAACCGGGAGCTTTCCAAGTGTTTTCAACGAAATTGAAAACAAACCACTACCCAATTCCACTGAGAAATTCATTAAAATAGTTTTCTTAAAAGAAAGCTCTTAGTGAGGATGGTGGCATATGCCTGTAGGCTGAGGTGGGAGGATCGCTTGCACCCAGGAGGGTGAGGCTTCAGTGAGCTCTGATGGTGCCACTGCACTCCAACCTGGGAGACAGAGCTAGACCCCATCTCTTAAAAGAAAGAAAGCTCGGCTGGATGTGGTGGCTCACGCCTCTAATTCTAGCACTTTGGGAGGCTGAGGCCCGTGGGATCACCTGAGGTCAGAGTTCAAGACCAGCCTGGCCAACATGGCAAAACCCCGTCTCTACTAAAAATACAAAAATTAGCAGGGTGTGTTGGTGTATGCCTGCAATCCCAGCTACTTGGGACACTGGGGCAGGAGAATCACTTGAACCTGGACGTGGAGGTTGCGGTGAGCTGAGATCATGCCGTTGCACTCCAGCCTGGGCAACAAGAGTGAAAACTCCATCTAAAAAAAAAAAAAAAAAAAAAAAGCTCTTTTTTACATAAAATGCTAGTTAATAAATACAGACTACTATAGTTAGAACACCATTTTTTGCAACCCTCAGTGAAATAACCGGCTCAGGAGAAGTTCACAAATGGTGTTCACACTGTGAGATGAACAGGTTATTTCTTGATTGACTTATAAAGTGCAAAGGGTGTGTGTTCATTTTCAGTGGAGACAGTGGAAAGGAGGTCATCAACTTAACCAAGTGACCACATTTAGCATTACTAATGGTGAGACAAGGTGAACTTACATGCCTAACCTGAAATAATGTAACCTATCAATGTTACTGAAGTATTCTTTCTAAAAATGTTAAATATAATCAAATCTGTACATATAATGTCTACTTTTTTTCTCTTTTTTTTGAGATGGAGTCTAGCTCTGTTGCCCAGGCTGGAGTGCAATGGTGTGATCTCCACTCACTGCAACCTCTATTCCTGGGTTCAAGCAATTCTCCTGCCTCAGTCCCTGAGTAACTGGGATTACAGGTGTGTGCCACCACGCCCAGCTAATTTTTGTATTTTTAGTAGAGACGGGGTTTTACTATGTTGGTCAGGCTGGTCTCAAACTCCTGACTGTGTGATCCTCCTGCCTCAGCCTCCCAATGTGCTGGGATTACAGGCATGAGCCAACATGCCTGGCCTACTTTTTTTTTTTTTTTTTTTAATGAAAAGACAAGAGTTGGAGAAACAAGTAATAAGATATTATGAGGAAATAATTAGCCAAATCAAGAATGCAGAATGTTCTACAGAGAACTAGCTTGGACTCATCAAAAAGTCAAATCATGAAATAGAAAGCTGCCTGTCACAGGGAGTTACCTCCATGTTGAGAGCAGTGTTCAGGGTAAGGGATTTCTGCCTTGACGCCCTTTTTGAGACAACTGCCCAAGTCCCTCATGCCAAATTCCTTGCATCTCTATGGCTGTTTCAATAGCATAGTTAGACAGAGATAGGGCAATCAATTATTCCAAGCCTTTCTGTTCTCTTGAAGGATGCTGAACTAACAGTCAGTAGGCCCGCCACAGCCAAGTCAAGGTAAGCCCTCATCAGGGGACGGGGGTACTGAGTCTGCCAGGGGAGGTGACCAACACTCCTGGGAGATTTGTCTGAATCCAAAGATGGGCCATGAGCTCACCAGCTGCAGGCTTCAGCATCCCAGGACAGCATGTTCCCAGGGATCAGACAGACAAGGAGTATGTATTAGGTTGTTCTTGCATTGCTATGAAGAAATACCTGAGATTGAGTAATTTATAAAGAAAAGAGGTTTGATTGTACACTTCTGCAGGCTGTACAGGAGGCGTGGTGCCCACATCTGCTCAGCTTCTGGGGAGGCCTCAGGGAGTTTTACTTATGGCGGAAGGTGAAGCAGAAGCTTATATGTCACATGGTGAAATGAGGACCAAGAGAGAGAGTTGGGGGTGGTGCCACACACTTACACAAGCTGATTTTAAGAGAATTCACTCACTATAGTGAGAACAGCATTGAGACATGAGGAATCTGCCCCATGACCCAAACACCTCCCACCAGGCCCCACTTCCAACACCAGGGATTACAATTCAACATGATATTTATTAGGGACAAATATTCAAACTACATCAGGGTGTCGTCCTGGAAACCTGAAGGTACCACTCAGTGCATACTCTAGGTCCAGAATGAAGCCAGGAGGTATCCTCTCTCTCATCAGTGCCACAAGGATATGTAATTATACCCCTGCTGCCCTCCATACAAATATCATCAGAAAAGATGACAGGACCTCTTTGGGAGGTGTTATAGGAGACTTATACTGTTGAAAGGAACTGAATGAAATTGAACTACATTTGGAACAGGACTGGACACTTTGGGTTTTTTTTTCCCTGTAACCTAACAGGTTGTGGTGGTTTTAAAATATATCCACAAATTCTTTGATATGCCTTCAAAGAATGCATCTAAATAAGCTCTGGCTGCCACATTAGGTTCAGATGTGAAACCTAATCCACCTTCCCTTGAATGTGGGATAGACTTAGTTACTTCTTTCTAATCAACAGAATGTGACAGAAGTAATTCTTTGATAGTTTCTACCTGACTCTCACCTTCTTGGATTACTTATTCTGGGCAAGCCAGCTACCACGTCCTGAGGAAACTCAAGCTGCCTTGTGAAGAGGCCCACACATAGAAAACCGAGGCTTCTCATCTACCAGCGCTAACTAGCCAACGTTGTGAGTGAGCGGCCTTGGAAGCAGATTTTCCAGCTCTAGTCAAGTGGCCGTACCCCTAGCCAACATCTCAACTACAGCTTTGTGAGAGATCTGAAGCAAGATGGCCTAGTCAAGCTGCTCTCAAATTCCTGATCCGCGGAAACTATCACATAATGTTTTTGTTCGCTTGTTTTCTTTTTTAAGCTCTGTTGAACTTGATATTATTCTTTCAAGATACTAAACTGTGGGGAATACTGGTATGCAGTAATAGATGACTAATGGGTGAAAACTCTAGACAAAAGAAAGGACCTTCATCTTCATGAGATATCTGAACTGTAGTGAGTTCAATAAGTGTCTTTGCTATACATGTGTATCCCTAATGTGGAAGATACGTGGTTTTATTAGGACAAAGAACATTAAGAAGGGGAGAACATAGTTGAGCACATAACACTGTTGTCTAGGGAGAAAAAGAAAGCCCCTTAGGTCGAGATGGATTTATTATGACTCAGGGGGAAGTACAGGGAACTCAAGAAGAAAGAGTGGCAGCCAGACCTTAGATAGGACTGAAACAAGGGTCCCGCAAGTGCTCAGAGTCAAGGTAGCTACTGACTCTTGCTTTCTCTCTGAGGCTACATGGCCTACTGCCTCCAATTCTGTCTCTTCATTAGCTGCATTCACTGATTTCTCTTGAGAGATCAACTAGTTCTGTTTGTCCCTTATTGTATTACTGGCCCCAAAATGGCTGCCCCTTGGAGGCAGCCATTTTGGTAGCCTTGGAGCTGAAATTCACATGTCCTTATAAATTCAGTGCTCCTGTCAGAGTGACCCAGTCTCTCCACATTTTGGCTCTAAATTCTTAGGAGGCAGAATCTGCTTGACCCAGCCTAAGTCAGATACAGAGCCAGATCCAACCAGATGGGAGAACAGGATGGAGAAGAGTTCCCATACTACCTTCTCAGCACTCTCTAGAAAGGGCTGTTGGCCACTTTTATAAAAGGCAAGGGCAAACAGAAGAAGAATGACTGATAGACGAAATTAATGGTATCATCGTGTATGTTTCTAAGATTCCATTAACTCTCCAGAACGAGCCTGCCAATAGCTCTGGTCTAAACTCCTCAACCCCTACGACTTCCATTGCACCTCCATTTCAGTCACCTGCTGAACAGCCATGCCCTTCACACTGCTTCTACTGCTTCTATACGTCCACCATGTTGCTTCATGCCTCCTCCATGGCTTAGACTTGACACAGTTTCTCTGCCTTGTCTTCCTTGTGCACATCTACTCTTTCAAGCTCTGATGGGTTTTATCTTATCTACAGTTCTATTTCTCTCCCACTCTGTACCCTTCCAAAATAAGTTACTCACATCTTCCTTTTTGCTATAGTACTTTAGTACTTAAATGATTGCATAGAGCTCATAGAGTCTTGTAGGGCGGATGTCATCTAATTCATGTTTATACCTCTAGTATCTAAAACAGTAAAGTAGGCGCTCAACAACAGTGTAACAGCACACTGAATAAGCATGACTTCTGAGATGAACCTAAAACCACTTCATTTTATTTTCCACTGTCCCTTGGAAAACTCCCTTCAAGGGTGTTTGGTTGCAAGGTTGGCTCTTCCCCTATTCCTGAATTAAAACTTGGGTGGTCCTGTTACTTTTTCTGGTCACCTTTAGTTAAGAGATGGTAATAACTAAAATATCCAGTCCTTTATAACAGTCAAAAGTTGGCACCTGACTTAGTTTAGGCATTTCTCCCTCCTCCCAGTTTGTGCCTTCTGTAGATAGGGAAGCCTAGATTCAGGAAAAGAGTGTGACCACGTCTCTTTTTCTGACTTGTGTCCTTACATCTTGTCTCTCCTAGCTGCTGATCCCTCCGGGGTTTGAGAGGAGGATGAGCAATTCGTCTTGCTTTGTTGGTACTGTCATTAGCTGCCATCACTTTCCCTGTACCTCACAGGTATTAAAAACGAATTCCTTATCTCATGGGCACTTATGTTGGTTTGTGGGGACAAACCTCTACTTCTACGAACTTTTCAACTACAATTCCTTTGACCAGCAGGCCCCTTACCCTAACCCCAGAAAGACCTTTGGCTTTTCCCTGCTGAAGTCTGTTCCTGTCTTTGGGTGGTCATCTTGGTCAGGTGCAGTGACGACTCCCTGCTGGCATCTCTCTCTCTCTCTCTCTCTCTCTCTCTCTCTCTCTTTTTAGTAACACACATCTAGTCTGCAGGAAACACATATGCCTTCTTTGTCCTGACAAATTCTGGGAATGTAAGTCCATCCCAACAAAGTAGCAACCTCTTCTATCTTTCTTTCTTTCTTGTTTTTGAAGACAGAGTTTCGCTCTTGTTGTGCAGGCTGGAGTACAATGGCGTAATCTCAGCTCACCACCACCTCCGTCTCCCGGCTTCAAGCAATCTCCTGCCTCAGCCTCCTGAGTCGCTGGGATCACAGGCATGTGCCATCACACCCAGCTAATTTTGTATTTTTGTAGTAGAGACAGGGTTTCTCCATGTTGGTCAGGCTGGTCTCGAACTCCCAGCCTCAAATGATCTGCCTGCTGCGGCCTCCCAAAGTGCTGGGATTATAGGCGTTAGCCACTGTGCCCAGCCTCGCTCTTTCTACCTGTAAGAGTGCCCAGGTGGAAGACAGTCATTAGTCCATTGTGTCCACCTAAACTCTGGGAAGCTTTCCAAGTCTCATAGAAGGCCCCTTTCCCTAGTCTCTGGGTGAAGAGCTAAATCCCTTCTCTTCTTTCTTAGTGATGAACTCCTCATAGCACTCCAATAGCTCCATTTAAATATCCTTCTCCCAACCCCTTTCCACTGGACATGATGGCTCATGCCTGTAATCCCAGCACTTTGGGAGGCTGAGGCGGGTGGATCGATTGAGCTCAGGAGTTTGAGAGCACCCTGGACAACATAACGAGACCCTGTCTCTATTAAGAATAAATATGTAAAAAAAGTTTTAAAACACCTCAAAACCAAAAAATTCTTTCTCAGCATTTACTCTTGACTCTTTTAGGCCCTTGATATGGGTGGGAGTTAAGGAGTAATCTAATCAGTTCTCACCGTCACACATTCTGGGCAAGTCCCACAGAGTGGCCTCCCTCTGGTATCGCCTATCTTAGGGTGTAAGGCAGCACTGCTATTTTGAGCTACTTTTATAAGAGCTGTTAAACTGTTACCCACTGGAAGTTTTTCTATTTCTAACTTTCAACCTGCTTCTCTCCTACCCTTCTACCACATTCTGCTCCTCACTTCTGCATAATCTGCTCTTCACCCAGTTCATAACCTCCAGCAGAGTCTCTGAATTCTGTGTCTCCTTATCTTGCCAACAGTGTTTAGCCATTTCACCAATGCTCTTGATAGAGACTTTACAAACTAATGTCTTTGCCTTCTCCCTGTACCCACTTTAGCAATCTCTGATCCTGGTAACCCCCAGTAGCCTCTTTCTCCATTTCTGTTCTTGGCCTTGTGACTGCTGATTGAAAAGTTCACAAAGCTATACTGATTGGACCCAGCACAGATTGATATTTTCTAATCTCAACTGGGCCTGTGGCTTGGGCAAATTTTTTGTTCAGTTCTTGTGATTATTTACCATATCCGAGGAGGGTAACACTCCATTCAGGATCCCAGGCTGCAACTGTAATAATAGGAGACACATTTTTAGAAGATACATTGTATCATCAAGCTTCCTAGCACCTGGCCCAAAATACTTTTCTTAGAGTAAAAAATACATTGCAGCTCAGGAGCAGTGGCTCATACCTGTAATCTCAGCACTTTGGGAGGCCAAGATGGAGGATCACTTGAGCCCAGGAATTCAAGATCAACCTGGGCAACATAGTGAGACCTCATTGCTATATTAAAAAAAAATAACAGAATTAGCCAAGTGTGGTGATACATACCTGTGGTCCCAACTACATGGCAGGCTGAGGTGGAAGGACTGCTTGAACCCATGAGGTCAAGGCTGCAGTTAGCTGTGATCACACCACTACACTCCAGCCTGGGTAACAGAGTGAGAACCTGTTTAAAAAAAAATGCATACAAAAGAAAAGTCCACTTATATTCAAGGAAGTTAGTCCCCTTACTGAATTATAACAATTATATTAAAATTTATTTATTTATAGAGAAGTTCTCTGTCACCCAGGCTGGAGTGCAATGGAACAATCACAGCTCACTGCAGCCTTGACTTCCCAGCTCAAGTGATTCTCCCACCTCAGCCTCCCAAGTAGCTGGGACCATTGGCATACACTACCACACCTAGCTAATTTTTTGTAGAGATGGGGTTTTGCCATGTTGCCCAGGCTGGTCTTGAACTTTTGGGCTCAAGAAATCCTCCTGCTTTGGTCTCCCAAAGTGCTGGGATTAACAGGCATGAGCCACTGTGCCTGTCCCAAATTTAATTTCTTACATCCCAAAAAGAGGCAGAAAGAAAGATGGACTGGATAGCCTCATTTATAGAACCAGAATCCCAAACTGGTACAATATGAAGGTTTCTGAACAAGGTCCAACAGGTATTTGAGATCCACAAAGCAGAAAAGACCTAACTAACTATAGTTTTTTTGTTTTCTCCCCAAATGGGATTAAGCCCCTTTCTTTTTTGCTTTCTGAGCAAGAGTACTAGTGGCCTCCAGCAACTGAAAAAGCCCTTAAGAAAGTGAAGCATTACTTGTCTTTGGCTCTAGTTCTGGCTCACTGTAACTCATAAAAACCTTTAAAGACAGAGACCAATGTGTCCAGCATTCCTATCTGTCCCAGGAAGACTCTCTCACTCATGTGTGCCTGCTTTTCAAGAAAAGGAACCCAATTAAAGACAGGTAACTTCATGTAGCAAAAGATATTCTTGGCCATCCTCACTATGCATTTGTCTTATATTGAATAACTAAAGTAGTACAGTGACTTCAACTTCTGAATTATTTATAAACCTAGAAACCAGAATTGTCCTACTAGTAAGTAACTTGTCTCTTAGAAGCAGAAATTCCTGATCATGTCACTTCTCCTATTCCAAGTGATTATCTGTTCCCTGAAAGGCTACAAAGACAGGCTTGAACCTCACTTTTCTCGTCTGTTAATAACAAAACCACTTGTGCGGTCAGAGCAGCCACATCAACCCTCACAGCCTATGGGAAAAAGCTTCAGTATCAATGCCCTGCTGCACATGCATTCCCAAGTATAGCAGCCTCTCATTGGAAAATAACATTTCAATCATGCCTTGATGCCCTCCCCAACCAATGAGGCAATGCAGGTTGTAAAGGTCCGTCCCAACCCACTACTGCCATCAGCCCTGCTGATGGCCCAAGATTCGTCATGTGTAATGCAATCAAGACATCATCATGTGTGTTGCCTCTGCTAGATCAAAACACCAGCTTGAAAGACTGAAACTCTTCTATCTCTATAGCTAATCCTGTGTATAGCTGGCAATTATCCTGACGGCTTTATCAATGACCTTTCCCAAATTAGTGTGTTAACCCCATTCTTATCACAATGGCCTCCTTCCTGAATAGAGCTCACAATGCGCTACTTCTCCGCCTGTCTCAAGCTCTAAGCTTTATCCCTCCAGAAATGTTTCAAATATATAACCATCAAGATCAGGAGGTCTTAAGACACAGGTTTCTTTTCTCCTTCTACAGGGAACTGTTAACACAGTGGTTCTCAACCTTAGTTGCAAAACAGAGCTTTAAGAAAATACTGATGTCCGGCTCCACTCCCAGAGCTTCTGACTTAATTAGTCTAGGGTAAAGCCAGGGCATTAGGATTTGTTTAAGCTCCCAAGGTGATTCTAACGTGTGGGCATGGTAGAGTACCTGTCTTAAGGCTCCCTAAACACAGACAGACCTATGATGCATAGAGCATCCACAATTCAGTGGGTAGGTGGCATGTACTATATACTAAGTTCTATGCTACCTCATTTTATCATTACAATAATCCTGTGACATAGGCACTATTATCCTTATTTTACAAATAGAGAAACTGAGACTCAGACAGGTCACATAGAGTGATTGGCAGACCCTAAAGTCAAAGCCCAGGTCTGATTCCCAATTCTACACACTTTATATGACATCATATTGAGATATCATGCCTCTCAGAGCTGGATGATCCCACTCCCCAAAACAAGACACCCAGGCTTTACCCCTGAAATCCCATTCCATTATCTCCAGGGATTTTTCCTGCAATATTTGCCTATGCACTTCACACATATAGCCCAGCTGCCAGGATATACTTTAGGCTGCCAAAATGAAATGAAGTCACCTTCTTGGTAGGTGGCTACCATGCCTGGCTCTTTACTGAAGTTCTTCCATTCTATGTATTCACACCAGGATCCTTCTCCATCCCTGCTAGCTTCAATCCTGTGGCTTTCCATATTTAGTTTTTCTTACAGATGAAGTGATATTGTTTACCTGCCAGCCATGCCTTCATTGGAGTAAAATTATGTATTCCATAGCATTCTTCTGCCTTGTACTCCAGAGAGTTCACAAAGAATCAAAATACACTAGTTAAGTGGCATAGAATTGCTGCCAATATCAAGATGGACTCTAATATCTAGTGAACTGGGAGGCTAGAGGCTAGAAGTATGTACTTTTGTAAGGTATCAGTGACACATCTGAGTAATGTAGTGGATGAATGCCAGCATTTTATTCCAGGAAATCCACATTTCATTGCAGCTAAAGGGTAAAGCTGGTGAGAGGTGGCAGGGGCCAGGAGGCTCCATCCAAAGGAAACAGACACTTCAGGTGTTGGGTGGCACCTTTAAGATATTGCGGGGCCAAATCCAATGCCTGTGCAGGTGTCCCATATATCCTGAGAGACATAGAGTTCAGATCACTCCAGACAGTTCCCAAATTCCTGACTTCTGTTATCACGACTGTTCTCAATTCCACCTCAGCCTGTGTTCAGGACTATGGCTGTTAGAAACTTCCTCGTTCCACTCCATTAGGGGCTTCCCGATTTCCACCTCATATACACCATGTACTAAATGCATGCCATTTCTGCCTGTTTACCAACATGCATGTAAGTTCACACTCCTTTAAGCAAAATGTCTTCTACTGTCAACTTCTCTCTAGTCTGGCCTCTCAGGTAGACTATATAGCTACGACCTTCATCTACCTCTCAGCTCTTCCCATCTTCTCCTTCCTACTGTATCACCTTAGCTCACACTCACATCCTCTTTGTCACCAGCCGAAAAGTAAATAAATCCTGCACTTTGGGAGGCCGAGGCGGGTGAATCATGAGGTCAAGAGATCGATACCATCCTGGTCAACATAGTGAAACCCCGTCTCTACTAAAAATACAAAAATTAGCTGGGCATGGTGGCGGGTGCCTGTAATCCCAGTTACTCAGGGGGCTGAGGCAGGAGAATTGCCTGAACCCAGGAGGCGGAGGTTGAGATGAGCCGAGATCACGCCATTGCACTCCAGCCTGGGTCACAAGAGCGAAACTCTGTCTCAAAAAAAAGAAACACCTTTTTTTTTAAGTAAAACTAAATCCGGTTTACCACCTTGGACCCAGCGTTTTGTTTGGCTTTTCCGCTTTTCACTCTACGGAAAAAGTCCTTTGGCGGCTACCCAGGTTACCGTCCTGCTGCCATTGCGCCTGCTCGGTGGTTTGTGGCCCAGCTCAGGCGAAGCGCTGAGTCCCACTTCACCGCGAGCGCCTTGGTTTGCTCCCTTGGCAGGTAACTCATCATGGAAGTCACGTTTTCATTTGGGAACACGGATCGGAGGTTTAAAACTGGACAGTGTTAAGTGTCAACTTGAAACCAAGGAAAATAGTGGTAGTGAAAACACTGGACACTCAGAAATCGGTCCCGCGTCAGAGCTGTCATGGAAGATGTTGATGATGAACCCCGAGGAAAAACTATAGCACCACCCTAACCAGAACTCCAAGTGGCAAGCAGCCATAGTTAGGCAAACGCATGGGTGGCATTTGGGTACCCATTTAGAATGTAGGCCCAGTTGTGGTAAAAATGCAAGGAAGACCAAACCTAAGGTTTTCTTGCTCGAGCAAACCTCGAGCAATACCTGCATGATTGAAGACTGACTCTTGAAGCAAAGTAAAAAAACAGGCAGCTATGCAAGATGTGAAACTTAGAGATGCCCCTAGAAGCACTAACCCGAGAAAGGACGAGCCGACAAACAGATTTTTGAAATGGTTTGAAGATCTCTTCAAAGTCAGTTTCAGGTGGCTTAGCAGAGGATGTTGCTGATAAAATGAGATCTGATGGAAACTTGTTTTACAGATATGACTGGATTCGTTTGAAAACAAAAGGCAGGCAAACTGACTTTTTTAAAAGTATTTTTATGGAAGTATTTCTAATGATACTTTAATGTGCTCAAAAAACAACCTTAAATAACTGGTAGATTCAGCTAAACTGGATCATTATTATCTTAGAGTTGGATAAAAGCATAAATGTTAAAAATCTGGCAACTTTATTGGACTGTTATGTTTTGAATGTCACCATTTGAAGACTTCAACTTGCAACAATAAATTTTCTACAAGGAAAGTGGGATTTTCAAGAGCTATGAAATTAAGCAGAGAATATGTATGGACATGTGAGCAGATGGAGCCAAATTTTGAAAGCTTTGCCTGCATCCAGTTTCGATCACAGAAAATCCTTTTATGTTGAAAAGCTAGCCTCTGGATTTTCTTACGTTCAATATGATGGTAAAAGTCAGTAAAAACAGCAGCTCGAATATTTACCTTTTAACACCAATTTGTAACAAAGTGGGAAGTAGCTTTACATTTCTGCTTCATCATCTAGAGGTACTCTGCCTTGGTTAAGATAAGGTGAAAGTCCATTTTCCAAGCCAGTATTGGACTGGTATTTTCATCATGAAGAAAAAGAAGTACAGATAAAGTGAATGGGTGTCTTGTTCACTTGAATAATTAAGACTAACTCAGAAAGCTGGCTTACTTTGTCAAGGCAAACAACCAGTATTAAACAGACTGAATACTTTCATTGCATGGGATGAGAAGGCTTGAATGAAAATTAAGTATGGGAGTGGAAGAGCTGATAAAGAACAGTG